CTGCACAGCGCTGCAGGTCAGGAAGAGCAGGATTCTCATGAATGCAAAAAGCTGGAGACTTTCTAGTTCAAGAACAAGAACTTCTGAAAAAGAGCTCCCAGTTACTGGGAATGTTCAAGCAGGGGTTTCCCGGCTGGTGTAGGTGGTATCCAAACATCGCAGACCCGAGTCAGCCTGAGAAACAAGCAGGGCCCTTCCCGCAGGGAGGGAGATGAGACAAGCCTATGAAACGCCCAGCACGGTGCCCGGCGCCTAACGGATGCATAATAATAAATATTAGGTTCTTCTCACCCCGCGAGTCCGCGGATCTAGGATCACATATATTGGATGTATTTCTGGAGGGGTAATTGGATACATTCTAGATTCTTCCAGAAGCACACAGTTTTCTCGAGTGGGGTTACGGAGAGAGAAGGCAAGGGGAGGCAAGGAGGCACGTGTCCTTGCGGATGGCAGCAGCACTTCCTCTGCTTGGAGTCCCGAGCGCCTTCAGGCAGTTACGGGCTTGGGCCTTATGCTCTCCACAACCGCTGAGATAACCGCTCCCGCAGCCTTTGCCCCTTTTATCAGGGCGTGCTCTACCTGCAAAGCAGACCGGTTGACAGGACACTCAGGGGCCATCCCAGGCTTGTGCCCTGCCCTGCCCTCACCGCCCCACTCCCCTTCAGCACCCGGCCTGCCTGGAGGAGGAAGCCACCTGTGCTAGCCTCTATTTCCAAAGATCCTAGGGTTGCAAGAGACCTAGAGAATTCAGGATGGCCCGAGATGAACATCAGAGGCAGACACACTCCCTGTCCCCGCCGGGGGCATCCACGGCTCCTGGCCTCCTTCCCTCAGAGCCATTCAGTCCAGGGTCAGCCTCGAGGGTAGGGCTCAGAGGCAAAGGATCTCGGAGCGGCTCAGCCACCGAGGCCCTCATCCTGCAATCAGGGAGCCTGAGAACCAGGGAGGGGAACTCACTTGGACAAAGCCATGGTGGGAGCTAGTGTCTGAGCGTGGCCCACACTCCATAGAAGGCCCCTTATCATCCATTTGGTCCCTGGGGTCTTCTTGTCCTGCACAAATGCTCTTGGGATGGGAGATCCCTTACACTGGAGCCCCCAAGCCCCCCACCCACCCCCGCACTGGAGTGAGGCCTCCAGAGAATGGAGTACAGGCTGGGAGAGGATAGAATACAAAGGAGGAAGGTCCAAAAAGTGGAGGGGCACAGGGCGTGGGTGACCTGCTCATGCTCACTCAGCACTAGTAGAGAGACCAGCAATGGGATTTGAGCCCAGTACCCTGAGGGAACATAAGAACCACAGAAAAAAAGCAGAAAAATTATGTTCCTCCTTTAATTCTTCATTTCTCAGTCTATTAAAAAGGGGATAATAAATACATCCTCTGCTCCTCTCATGGGGTTTTAGTAAGGATCAAATAGGAATGAGGGCTGCTCAATTTGTCACATATTTCGAGCTATTTTTCAAAGCTCTTGAACACATGGACTGTGCTTCACTGGATTTATCCCCGCCCTGTGTGGTGGTGGTGGTGGGGGGGGGTCACAAACCCAAAGGCAACACGCACGGGCCAGGCAGGTAAGGTGGGCAAAGCTGGTAGGTGGCACGTCGACCCCCACAAGTCCCATCTAAAGAGGCAGCCACTACTTGGCCCTACAGGGTGTCAGCAAGCAGGAACACGGGCCTGATGGTCTGATCAATTAGTTGTCCTAGAAAGGCTGTGATTCCAGATCTTTTTATATAAAACTTCTATGGTTTTAAATGTTGGCAAATAATACAAATTAAAAAAAGAAAAAACGAACCACTACTCATCCAAGCAAAACATGTCTGTGGGCCAGATGTAGCTGAAAACCTCACTTCATCCCTGTTTTGTAAAAGAACAAACTGTCTCAGAAATAAAATGGCCTGGCCAAGGAGACCCCCCAGCCTTTGCACTCCTCCATGGGTTAACAGAGGGGAAACCACCTCCTGAACCGGAAAGTCCTGAGAAGTAGAAGCCCACCAGTACAACAAAGAGCACGAAACCACCGACCACCGTTCTGATCACTGATGAGATGACAAGCCCCAGCAAGAAGCCGCCGTCCGAGCAAAAGGCCTCATACCTGCTGGCTCCGGGGCACACCGTATCTGAGGTCATTGACAAAGTGCTCACAGTTCCTTTCGATCAGGCTGTACTGCACTATCTTGTTGATCATCTTTTTTGTACGCTGGATGATCTGGTCCACGGGCAGGGGCAGGTACGTCCCGTCCAGCTTGTTGTTGATCTTCCAGGAGCAGCCATGCAGCACGTCCTCCAGGCAGCTGTATTTCACGACTGCGCGGTTGCTGAAGACGGAAGTGATGCTGCCCGCTTCAAATTCCTCACCTAGAGACCAAGATGAACAGAAGCTGGAAAGCTGCGAGGGACAGCAAGGGGCAGAGCACTGGCTCAGTCTAAGCTGTGGGTCAAGGTGCTTCCCTCTAAGATCTTGGCTTTGGTATCTGTCAAAGGCATGGCCGAGGACCAGGAGTTGGATGAAATGAGCTGCCCCCCAGTGAGACGCCTGTCGCCTGGATATCAGCCTGCCTATCAGCCCTTTTTCTTTTCTTTTCTTTTTTTTTAAATGACAGATGATGTTGAGCATCTTTTCATGCACTTATTGGCCACGGAGAAAAGTCTATTCAAATCCTTTGCCCATTTTAAAAATTGGGTTATTTGTCTCTATATTATTGAATTGTAAGAATTCTTTACATATTCTGGGTAGTAGAACTGTGTCAGATATATGTTCGCAAATACTTTGTGCATTCTGCGACTTGTCTTTTCACTTTCTTTCTTTTTTTTCTTTTTAAGATTTTATTTTTTTATTTGAGAGAGAGAGAAAGAGAACACAAGCAGGGAGGAGGGGCAGAGAGAGAGGGAGCAGACTCCCCGCTGAGCACAGGGAGCTCAATGCGGGGCTTGATCCCAGGACCCTGAGATCATGACCCAAGCTGAAGGCAGATGCTTTAACTATCCGAGCCACCCAAGTGAGTGTGGCTGCCTGGGACCAACCTTCCCAGGAAGACTTCTGCCCTGCACCGCATTCCCCACTGTCAGCAGTCTCTTTCTCATAAAACTCTAGAGCTGCTTTACAGCGCAGACCCAGACTTCATTCTGTACTGTACTGACCTGACCAAGTCCTAGGATTTGAGTCTTGCTTTCCTAACCAGACTTCAGTAATCTTCACAAACGTGCACTAAGCACCCTTAGGTGTGAGCGTCCGCTCCTGGCTGTGGGGCTGGCGTGGGGCTCCATGACCTGCCTCCCTCTGCAGCCTCAGCAGGGCGCAGGGGAGGCCAAGCAGACTGGGCTCTGGGTGCTACCCACCCAGCTTCCGCCCAGAGCCACTCTGCCTTTCTCTCCACTCAAATATTTGAAATTTGAAAACAGGGTTCCATAGATTTGAAAAAGGAACCATTTAAAAGGCGCTATATTATCATATTCAGTCCCTAGAGGAGACAGCTGCTCAGAGAGGGTCAAGAACCTGCCCAAAGCCAGGGCGGTCCGGTGGTAATTTAAAACCAAGACCATTTTTCTGCTCCGACCATAAGGATAGGCAAATGTGTGTGCCCTTGCCCCTCCGAAAGTTAACCGAGAACAAGAAGTGCCCCTTGTCCTCTTCATACGTATTTGAAGAATATCTCCTGATGTTACGAAAGCTGGGAGAGGGTCAGTCAGCTTTCAGGAACAGAATTTGTTTTTAGAGGAAGATCTGTTGGGGAAGGTGGGGACATATCAGTTAGAGACCTCTTTGGTTATACAAGAGGGAGGCTCCTGGACTTAGTCTGGAAAGGGGATGTGGAGGTGATGTGGAGCGCTTTTTACCTTCTCTGCGTGTAGGCGGGGCAGGGAGACGGGCTCCGCTGCAGGTGAGAGGCGGGGCCCAAGGACAAGGATGGAGGGGGTGGGGGTGAGGGCCATGAGCACGGTGTGGCCACAGGCCTTTGGTCCCAGTGCCCTTCTGCAGTTTCATCCTGAGTGGGCAGTACTCACACAGGATACAAAATTCAAAAGGCATCAGAGCATAAGCAGTGGTGTCCCCCAGCCTCCCCTTCTCCCAGCACCTCCGGGTCCCTTCGCCGGAGGGGACCACCGTGACTGAGTGTGTCTCCCATTCTATCTTCTACCATCACCACGTCCTGCCATCAAACCTCCACTGAATTTTAATTAGTCACCAGTTGAATCTCCGCCTTGTGTTAGGCAAACTTGAGCCACGAAAGGAAGGCTGTGTGTCCACACTGAGGCGAGAGCAGCCTGGGACAGGCAGAAAGAGCAAGGAGACGAGCCAGGGTGGATGTGCCCAAGCCATCAGGAAGCCGGAAGCAGCATCTGGGTGCCATCAGAACATGCAGGCATCTGCACTCCTCCTGGGGAAGCCTCAGAAATATGAGGAAGGAAACCGAGGCTCAGCGAACATGGGGGCCCCCTTGTGCATTTCATCTCCCCTTAGGGCTGGACACTCGGTGGTGTTTGGTAGACAGAGATCAAGCTCCATCACCTAGTCCACTAAGGGCCAGGAATGTGTCAAGTGTTTTATTGCTAATGAAGGGCAGCAGCCGAGGAACACAATAACTAAATGCACTTCTTCTTACTCTGCTAGCTTCAGTATCAATATCGATATGTCAAGGAGTATCCACCCTTACTCGGGGCAGCCAGATGCACCACGCAGTCATCTTCCACATAGATGGCCCAGTGCTCATAGCCGATTCGAAAAATCTCAATCAGGTCTCCGGGTCTGGGTCTTGGTTTGCCCTGTGATGGGAGAAATAAGAAAAAATAAAGAAATGGCACGTGTCCAAGGAACTCCGGAGACACTGTTTGGGGGGGATTAGCTACAGCTCAGCCTAAAGACACTGGGTTTCATCACTCTGTAGAAATCCAGGCTGCCAGAAGCTCCCTGCCCATACAAGACCAAAGGACCCGCCCCCACTCCTGCTGTCAATCAAGTTATTAAAGCCACAGAGGCTAACTGAACTAGCTATCAATGTATTGCCACTGGGCGCCAAATGCTTATCACAGATAAGCTCTGTGATACGTGCGGGAACTCTTAAGCTTTTCTCCTTGAAAATGAGCACGTTGTTAAGCATTGCGAGAGGAAAGGGTTCTCCTGCAGTTTCTGGCTTGGGGCAGGGGGTGGGGCGGGTCTAGTGCGGGTGTGAGGACTTCTGGTGGAGCTCTGGCTGAGCCAGAACCCTCCGACAATAACCTTTCTGAGCCCTTTGGCAGAGAAATCAGTGCCCAAACATCGCCTGTACCTGCTGATGTCTCGATTCCCTCTGCACGTCTCCCACATGAACCACCTGTGGTCCAGAGGGTGCCCCCCTCCTTTGCATGCTCAAACCACCTGCTGACAGCCAGCCCCCCCGCCCCCTACACTCCAAAAAGTTGTACTTGCCAGGAGTTACAGTCCCACCCCAGCCTGGCCAAACCAAACTTCTCTGCTCTCCTCTCTAACGAGGTCTGAACCCCTTCCAAGTCTGTCCTTCCCTGAGTATTCTCCCTCAGCCCTGGGAGGCCATATTGAGGTTCTTCATTTCTTATAGTTACTCTTACATAGTTTAACAATTCTTTATAGTAAACTTCCCCCTGTTTAATCTACTGGGTAGTTTGTATCTCTTGATTGGACCCAGGATGCTGATCCTCTATCTCTTCAAAGAGGCCTGGGGAAGAGACTGTGTGGGTGTATGTATGTGGGTATGTGCACAAGAACTTAAACATTTATTAAGAGGGTAGTTCTCATATTAAGTGCTCTCACCACAATAAAAAACAAAGAAAGAAAAGAAAACCTAGAGCTGGGCAATCAGAGCCTGGGGAGACCGAGGGAGCCATGGAGTCGGTCACACCGCCCCACTCACCCATCAGCTTTGCCACGGCTTTGTCACTTACGCAACAATTTGCCAGTTTTAGTCTAATTTCCTCAAGGCTGCATCTCACCTCTCAGTTCCCAGCTCTATTTCCCTAGCGGAGGACAGCCATTTGCCTGGCAAAAATTCACAGAAGAACTATGAGAGACTATGGACTCTGAGAAACAACTGAGGGTTCTAGAGGGGAGGGGGTTGGGGGGAAGGGTTAGCCTGGTGATGGGTATTAAAGAGGGCACGTTCTGCATGGAGCACTGGCTGTTATACGCAAACAATGAATCATGGAACACTACATCAAAAACTAATGATGTAATGTATGGTGATTAACATAACATAATAAAATAAAATAAAATAAAATTCACAGAAGTAAAAGGGGGCTTTTCACCTGTTTCTTTTCTGAGATACAATTTACAAAATTTGTTTAACCATCACCACCATCCATTGGACTTCCTCAAAATTTAAAAATTTTGTTCTTCAAAAGATGTTGTTAAGAGAATGAAAACACAAGCCACAGACTGAGAGATGATACTGCAAAGCATATATCTGACGAAGGGCTTGCACACAGAATTTCTGAAGAAACCAAGGGGAAAAATGGGCAAAAAGATTTGGACACTTCACCAAGGAAGATATATATGGAAGATGTTCAGCATCGTTAGTCATTAGGGAAATGCAAATTAAAACCACAATGAGATCCCTACAGACCTATGAGGATAGCTACAATTTAAGAGACTAACCATACCAAATGCTGATGACGATGTGGAGAAACTGGAACTTTCACACACCGCCATCGGGAATGTAAAATGGCACAACCAGTTTGGAAAACATATCTTTATGTTTTATGTAACTCTTTTAACTATGTAAGAGTTTTATGAAATGCAAATTAACGTACAGTGACAAGAAACAGATCAGGTGCTGCCTGGGGATGGGGGTGAGGAGAGGCGGGGTTAAAAATACAACTACCATATGGGGGCGCCTGGGTGGCTCAGTCAGTTAAGCATCTGCCTTTGGTTCAGGTCATGATCTCAGGGTCCTGAGACTGAGCTCTGTGCTCTGGGCTCTGTGCTCAACAGGGGAGACTGCTTGAGATTCTCTCTCTCCCTCGGCCCCTCCCACCCCTCAAATAAATAAATAAAATCTTAAAAAAAAAAAAATACATCTACCATATGATCCAGCCATTTCATTCTTAGGTATTCACCCAAGAGAAAAGACAGCATATGTCCACACAAAGACTTGCACACAAATGTTCACAGCAGTTTTATTTGTAATAGCCAAAAACCGGGAACAGCCCAAATGCCCATCAACAGGTGAATGGATAACAGTGGTGTATCCATACAATGGAATACTACCCAGTAATAAAAAGGAATGAACTATTAGTCACATGCAACAATATTGATATAACTTTAAATAATTACATGAAATTATGTGAAAGGAGACAGACAAAAAGAGCACATACAATATGATTCCATTGACATAAATCTCTAGAAAATGCAAATGAACGTATAGTGACAAGAATCACATGCTTCCTGGGGATGGGGGTGAGGAGAGGTGGGATTTACAAAGGGAAACAATGTTTTGGGAGTTACGGAGATGTTCATTATCTTGATTGTGGTGACAGTTTTGTGGATGCACACACAGCGCACCAAACATATCCAACTGTATATTCTAAATATGCGCACTTTATCGTATGTCAGTTACAGCTATGTAGTTATACCTCAGTAAAGCTCAGTAGAGTTCAACAAAGCTGTTTTAAAATTTTTTTTAAGGCACAACATCCCAAATCAGGATGCACTTCAACCTGCCACACAGTCTTAACAAAGTAAAACACAGTCTGTAGAAAAGTCGCAGGCGCAGTAAAGATATGCGCTAAGAACTCGTGATACCCACCTCAGCGACTTGCTTTGTTAATTTCCCTGCACTCTCCGGCTTTGGGGTTGAACTCGACTCTGCTCTTTTCTGGTGGGCTGTAGTCTCCAAGTTAACTAAGGGCTTCTCCCTAAATGAATTTTGTGAACATAGAGTTAACAAATAACACTATTCCACAACTATTGGAAATTCTGTATTACTTCAGATTTGTGATTTTCAGATCTCTTTCGATTTTGAGACCCTAGGAAACATCCTCCCCAAAGCTTGTTTCCATGATCATGCCGTTAGCTGCCATGCAAAATAATTGCCGTTTACTGCTTTTCAGATGACTGTTAAACTGCTAATGATAGCAATGAGTAGCTTTCAGGATTTTTTTTTTTTTTATTGCTGATCATCTTTCTTACATGTTTATCAAAATGACACTTCCACATAACTTTTTAAAAAATGGTAACAGTACATAATGGCTTCTAATGAAATGCAACAGGCCTCTACTCCCTCCCTCTCTCTGCCCATCCTGCTGGGAGAGGCAAGCCCCTTGAACTCTTGAGCTGTTTCTTCCAACAACTAGCTCCATATTTCTGAGAAATCTCATTAAGCCTCAATACTGTAACTGCAAGTATCATGAAAGAAATCAATATATTTTGTCCCTTGAACCAAAACGTTGTCAAGAGAGGGCTGAAACCAAAGGCAGGACTATGCTTTGGGATAATATAGTGAAATATATTGGGGTCAAAATGCCTGGGTTTGGGGCGCCTGGCTGGCTCAGTCAGTAGAGTGGTGGAGTGTGAGACTCTTGATCTCGGGGTTATGACTGCAAGCCTCACGTTGGATGTGGAGATTACTTAAAAAAATAAATAAAATCTTAAAAAAAAAAAGACCTGGGTTTCAACCCTAGCTCTGATCCTTGCTGTCCAACCTTGAGCTAGTAAATGAATGTGTTTGAACATCAGTTTGATTATCTATAAAATAGAGATGAGAGTATTTGTCTCGCAGAGTTGTCAGGAGGGTTAAAGGAGCGAGCATACATACACACCTGGTACGTTACCAACCGAAAAATGGCATTTTCTTTGCCTTTCCTCCATGCTTTACCTCTTCTCCAAAGTATAGTGTATGGGGGTGGAGTATAGCACTTTGGGGAACGTTCAGACCCTCACAATTTTAAAAAGAAGCAAACTGTGTTTTTAATGAAAGTGAATTGAGGAAATTTGCAAGATCACATCATTCATTAGTGAGACCAAGTGGCCATGTGGTAAGCGCCAGTTCTTAGGGTTCTGGAGGTTCTTGTGGCTAGAAACTGCTGCCGGGCAGGTCTGGTCAGTGGTCCCCAGGCCTGGTGGTAATCTATTATCCGCAGCACACCAGCCTTCCCTTCACTGGTTGGGGGTGGGGGGTGGGGGTGTAAGCTGGTTCCTATGGAAACCACCTCTGGATTTGCTTTACAGAACTGCCATCAAAATCGGTTCTTCAAAGGCTTCCCCACCCTAAGACCCAGTCCTTCCATACAGAGACTCTTACCGCTCCTGGACGCTTCTGCTCAGCTCTGAAGTTCCCTGCGGCCGCTCCTTGGGAGAGAGCTGGAACAACGCTTGAGATGATTCTTCTAGTGGGGGGTGGGGAGGAGGATGCTATTTAAACCACAACTGCCTCCTACAGGGAATGAAATCTGTGAAGGGAGAGTTGGAGCAAACACCTTGACATCTATGTGAAGGTGGGCTCAGAGCTCCAGTCGAGAACCGTGCCTCGCCTGGTCGGCCCTCAATCAGTTTTTGGGTAAATGAAGGGGATTGTGGGACTAGATGCTGGAGAGGTCTCAGTTCCCCTGGGAAGGAGAGACTCGGGAACTCCCAGGGATAAAATCGAGAGGATGAAGTGAGATCCCAGAAATCCGGAGGCTAAACCTGACAACAGAAGCTTCTGAGGCCCTAGAGTCCTAGAGCCATTGTCAACTCTGTTGGGGAGCTGCCACCTCCGCTTCCATTTCCACCCGAAAGAGGGTCGGAGGGTAGAGATACCCGAGAGGCGCACTGGACGCCTGGCTCGCTTTGATTGAATTACCAACAAAAGATCATTCCCAAGTATGCGCTCATTCCGGTTAACGGGCATTTTGCACGACCAACACAGAGCTACGAGGAGCCTTGAAGGGATCTCTGGTGCCTTTTCTGGGGGTCCGACGGCCCGCTGGGACCTGAGAGGCCCCCTAGTAGGGCCTCCGTGCTCGCTGGAGAGGAGCCCGGTTCCTGCGGCCGGGCCGACGGGGCACAGCTGACCCGCCGGGGGCTGGTGGCCGGTCCCCAGGCCGCGTACCTGCGGCTCGCGGGGCGGGTTTGGGGCGCGGCCGGGGGAAGCGAGAGAGGCGGCGCCTGCTGTCTTCGTGGGCGGCCGGGCTCAGGCCCATCCCGCTGCTGCTGCGGGAGGAGCCGAGGGCGGGGGTGGAGGACGCTGGCGCAGCGCGGTGAGGCCCTGCCGAGGCCGGAGGGGCGCCAGGCGGGGAACCCGGGGCGCGCAGCAAACGGCGGGGGCGCGCGGGCGCCGTGCGCACGGCCGAGGGAACGGAGAGGGCGCTCAGGGGGGCGCTTAGAGGCCCAGGAAAGGCGGCGGCCGAGGTCATCCCGGGGGTGGAAGGCAACGCAGAACAGTAGGCACGGAGGCCGGAGGCGCGGTCCGACGTGGCTGCAGAAGCCAGACGGAGCCGACCGAGGAGCGACAAACGCGTTGATGCCAGATTAGGAGGGCCTGGGGAGGCACGCTCAGGAGTTAAGATCTTGAGAGATTCAAAGTTTTTATTTGAATTATTTATATGACTTAAATTATATATTTTGTAACTAATTATATATAACATATAATATATACAAAAGAACACATGGAGGGGCGCCTGGGTGGCTCAGTCGGTTAGGCGTGGGACTCCTGATAACGGCTCAGGTCTTGATATCAGGGTCGTGAGTTCTAGCCCAGGGATGGCTCCACGCTGGGCGCTGAAGCTACTTAAAAGAACAAAACCACATGGAACACATGTAGTTGCGAAGCATAATAAAATTACTGCCCGTGAATACACCAGTCTACTTAAGAACGGGAACATACCTAGCACAGATGCTCCTACCTGTGTTTTCCTCCCTTATCCCATCCCCCTGCCGCCCTCTGCCGTAGGTAACCTCTCCCACTCTTGTGTCTATTATGCCCTTGCTGCTTTTTTTTTTTTAAGATTTTATTTATTTATTTGAGAGAGAGAGAATGAGAGGGAGCACATGAGAGGGGGGAGGGTCAGAG